ATATATATATATATTCCTTTAACCTTCAGAACTTTGTGGATAAAAGTTACTAGTATGCTCATTTTATGGCTACTTCCTCATGCACATATGTATACCCATACCCACCAGTCAGTCACAGCCTGGAGAGATACACATTCCCCTTGGTTTTCCGAAAGATCTGCCACTGTTCTCCTAAGAAAGGAGAGCTTAATTTGACTGGTTCCATGAGCTGAGGTTAAGGCCTCCTTTCTCAGGAAGATGTGCAATGGAGAGAAGTATGGGCTTTGATGTTAGTTAGAGTGAGGCTCCAATTCTAGCTCTTCCTCATACTAACTGAGTCTTGGGCAAGTTATTTAAATTTGAAAATTTGGTTCCTCACTCGTTTTAAAGTGTTGTGATGAATTAATGGGCTCATATATGTAAATCATGTAACACAGTTCTGGATATTGTAAGCCATCAATAAATGGTAGCTCTTATTACTGTGTTGGATGTATCCCCATGCATGTTACATGTGGCTGTCTCGTCTGGCTGTTCCTGGAACTTGGGTTAGCATTTCCTCTTTCTCTCTCTCTAGACTCTCTTCTCTCTAGACTGAATGCTCCTAGAGAACAAGATTCATGTCTTATTTTTACTGTAACTCCAGTGCCTAGTTTGGTGCCTGCCATTATCAAAAACTCAATACACATGGGTCAAGTAAGTGAATGAATAAATCCACACCAGTTCTGCAAAGTTGAACTCCCCAACTGCTCTTTAATCTAAGCACAAAGAAGTGTGTCCTGCCCAGTTTCTGATATAGAATTCATCTTTTGGATTGCTTTGCCCATGGTTTTAATGTCATTTGTAGAACTTCCTTGCATCAAGGCAAGGGTGAACAGCAGCAGACACAAGCTATCGCCTTACCTAAGTCTAAGGATGCCGTGTCCGAGCCTCGGAGAGCCTGACCTCTCTGCTCAGCGTCTGCACTGATGAGGTCAGATGCGTCGGTCTTTTTCTTGAGGGATGATGTTTTCGACGAGGCCTCCAACTTCTTGGCTTTGGTTTGGGTTTGAGAGACGGGTTCACTCAGGTCAAGGAGATCTAAGCCTGTGGTCAACACTATCAGAGATGGAAGAGGTTAAGATAAGCCCATTCACTGCTCTCAGATTGTTTTTTAAAAATAGGTCTCGGTTGGGTGCAGAAGGATTTTGTGTTTGTAGAGTAGGCGAGAAGCACCAAACTAAGTTAGCTCCCCACTGATTTATCAAGACAGTTTGTATTTAGACTGGGAACCTTGCTGGATGCTCTCCTTCAGCTGTCACATTACAAATTCGCAAAACAGGGCTTAGACCAGCCTCCCCAGTGATGAAGGTCTGAACAAAAGTAAAATGATAAAATTGAATATGAGTTTAGATACTATTTACTTTATGGCTTTGCTTTATTTATAAAGAGGCATATTTTAGAGGGCAGATTTTCTGGGGTAGCGCCTAACTGTCATATTCAGAGGGATGCTTGCAAGACAGTGAAGGCGAAGATTTGGTAAAGTTTCTAAGTGCCTTTGTGTTTTCACTTCAAACTACTGAGATATCCAGGGTATAAAGGAAGACTGTTAATCATCTTTTATTTAATTAAGCAGTTCAATCAGAAAACGGCTTGCTGTTTAGGCTCACACTAGAGAGGTATTTTACAATCCATAGTTGATGAATAGGTACACATGTTAAAACCTTTGCTGCTTAATATGCAAATTCAAATTTCAACGTAACAAACCATAAAATGGTTACCCTTTTACTTCCCAGCAGGTTGATTACATTGTGTTAAATACTCTAATGAAGGCAGAAATAATAATTTGTTCAAATGCAAACTAGGCAAATGAGAATTAAAAAGGCAAGCTCTGTAACTCTTCATTCTTTTTTCTCTTCAGTGCAAGTAACTGATGTTTGACTAGCTCATTGTGAGAAGTGGAAAATTCCAATTAGAAAGGGTCCCTCCAGCCCTCCTTCCGAGAGGCTGGCTTCTGAACTGGCCTGGTGGGCTTCTTGGCATAGGATCTCTTCACCTGGCTAGCTTAGGAAAGCGAACAAAGTGACAGGGACACTCCCTGTGCTAACCCTTCCCAGCACCGTCTACAACAGCTCCTCCTCCTCCTCTTTGATGTCTGGCTTTTCCTCTTGGTAGGGAGTGGATGGATTTTTGCTGACATCTCGATGCTCTTCCATCTACTGCCCCCTTGCATTCAAGGCTGGGGCAGGGCTTAACTGAGCTCACAGCAAGTATTTCTTTAGTACTGTACTGTCATCATGAGCTAACCAGTCCCATGGGATCCTTAGGATAGGATGTCAAGCTTTATTCTCAATAATCTTGCTTTCTGACTTCAATTACAAATCACAATGGTTTGAAGCTGATGGTGAAGTGGAAAGACCCGGCTCTACCACTGCTTAGCTATGTGGCTTCAAATGGGTTTCTTGACCTCTCTGAGTTTCAGTGTCCTCAGCTGAAAAATGCAGAATTAGTAGTCTGTCCTTTAGGTATGACATGAAGATTAAATGATCTAATTTGTAAGTCAAATGTGTAAAGTGCCAGCATATCATAGGTACTCAGTAAATATTTCTATTCTTTGGTGGCCAATTTGTGATGCTTTTCTTTCCTTTTCCTTTTTGTTGATCTCCTATTTTCCCTACTCTTCTCTATTTCAGGCAAGAATCAGGTCTACACACTGACAGAACAAAAAAACACCAGTGGTCCCACAGAAGATGCTATGAAGTAAATTTATTTAAAAAACACCCTGAAAGTGTCAGCTTATCTCACTTGAGTCTTCCTGAGGAAATGGGAGCCACTTTCCAACGAAAGATGCTCTGAAATATGAGGAGTGTTCTGTGGGAGCAAGCACTTGAATCTGGGGGGAAAGAAGTGGCTTTCAAGGCTCAGCTGCCTGGCTTGATGTCTAAAATCCAAGCACGGCAAGCAGCCAGGGTCAGCTAGGATGCCACACATTTCCTATCCTTTGAATGTTTAAACAGAAATTTCTAGGCCACTATTACGTTGGCAGGAATTCTCAGCCCACCATGATTTCTTTACAATAGAGGCAAGGAAGTGGATGACAGTCTCTGGAATGCTGTATATGTCTTTTTACTAATTGTACAAACAATTAAGAATTAGTCACTAGCTCCTACACTTCTTTTAAAAGCAAATTATATAGGACTCGTCTGCTTGTATATAGAAGTACATTTGTTACAGAATAATAACTGATGAGCATTAATTTAACTCTGTATCTGCTTCTCACCATTCAGAATAAATGAATTACTAAAAGCCTGAATTGTGAATTCAAACTTGGCTCAGTAACAATCTTTCTCCTCCAAACGTCCTCAGCACTTCCTGCGTTTGTTCTGAGCTCTCTGTTCCTTTGTTCTTTTCCCAGCAAATGTGAAACAACTGCTTGGCAGGCACAAAAGGCCTTATTTGGTACCCAGTTGATGAAGGGGGTGGCTGGGAGGTGGAATGGCAACCTTGAAGCTGAGAGAGTCCCCGGGGAACACAATTTCAAAAGCATAGAAGGACGGGTGCAGCCTTTCACTTTCTTAAGAAAGATAAATCTCATTTTACCGTGTGTGTGCGTGTGTGTGTGTGTGTGGTGTGCACTTTAGTTAAGACAAAAATAAAGGGTTTCATTGTTGCACATGGGCTTCAAAGACAGCATACCTTGACACAGAAGAGGGCGTCTGCTCTACTGATTTTCTGAACCCAATTTTAAAGATGCTCTTAGGCACATGAAGCTTTGTGTTTCAGAATTTGTGTTTCGATTTAAGATAATCACCTGTTATAGTGGATGTGAAATGGTGTGTATACATGTGTGTGTGTGTGTGAGAGAGAGAGAGAGAGAGAGAGAAGGAAACAGAGCAACCTGAAGATGCTATGCTATTGGCTTTGGAGGTAGAAGAAAGGGCCATAAACCAAGGAATTCCAGGTACTATCTAGAGGCTAGAAAAGGCACGGAAATGAATTCTCCTTTAGAGCCTCCAGGAGGAATGCAGCCCTCTTGACATCTTGATTTAAGACAGCTGACCTCCAGAATTGTAGGATAATAGATTTGTGTTTTTCTAAGCCACTAGATTTGTGGCAATTTGTTACAGCAGCAATAGGCAACTAATACAGCTGGTAGGCCAGCATCCACACCGGACTCACGGTCCCACCACCCGCAAGCCTGTGCCCTTCACCACTCCTCTCTAGACTTTATCTGAACTTGGAGGGAATGTGCTGATACTATTGATGTGACTTTGATTATTTTTTGTTTAGCTACCAATTATTTGCCAGTTTGGGTAGTCTGAGGCATAATTTAAATAGTTGGTGCTCTCAGAAACTTATTTTTGGTAACCGAATTCCATTGGGTGGAATTTCCTGAAGCTAGAAGATGAAATATGTTATGTAAGTATTTGTTTCCATCTGTCTCAAGGACACTTGATTGAAGATCACAGCCTATTAATCTGGAAGCCTCCACACAGCAATGAAGATGTTTATGAATACTGCATTACTTGGGCTTTGGGAGGTGAGGCTGCTTAGAACAGTTAGGATACAATGGCACCTATGATGAAGCCCTGATTTAATATTTTAATGGTAATGCTATTAATATCACTATAGTATAATGAGCCTCAGATTTTTAGTGACTTTCTCTAAAGGAATAAATCTACAAGGAGTGGTCAGAGAGAACAGACCATGGGACAGCCCTGACCAGGGTAGTCACAGAATGTGCCACCCAATTTGTAAGCTACCCTGGCATTCCAGAAAACATGGAATTCTTTTAAAAATTTTTTAAACTGAAGTATAGTTTGGAATTCTTTAATATAGTGCTTACAAAGCAAACTCCTTTAGGAAACATTTTGCCAGTGATGTCAAATAGATAAACTGAACTTAAATAATTCAACCAACTTTTGCCTTTTAATTGGAATATGTAATTAAGGCTAATTCCCAGATTTCTAAGTTCTCTCAAGAGGCATGCCATTGGGTTCACGACTACTTGGGCTTCATAAAAATGTATTTGGAATTAAATGTATTTGTATTACACTAATTTTGCAGTTAGGTGGCTATAATGGGATTGTGAACTTTGTTAAGGGTAGCTTTTCCTTCATATAGGGGTCTCTTTGACAGGTATACAGGTCCCACACCAATAATACCAATATATTATTCTTTTTTAAAGCATGAAAAATATTTCTTCTAAAGTAACTGCCACCTAATAGCTCAAGACTATGGATAATTTTTTTAGATTATGTAGATTGATAAATGCAAACCAAGAACCCCCTATTCTTGCTCTTTAGAAAAGAGTCTTTCCTGTACTTTGAAATATATTAGATTTTTTTGAAGACTATAGACCAAGAAGTCATTATTGCAAGTTTTATAGTAATTACTTGTCCTATAATATAATCAGTATCTTAAAAACAGCTACTTTCTAGTTACTTTCAGAGCATTTACTATATGCATCAGTATATAATATATATTTATTTGCCATTAAAAATCAAGGATATTAGCGATGATCTTGGCCTACTTACCGTCTAGGGATACAGCTTGAGAGGGCCAAGGAATTAGTTACCTATCTAGATTACTGATGAACTAAAGATAATTTAAAATGTTAAAGGCAAAAAAATTGGAAAATATCCTGATTTGATCAGCTTGAAGTTATCATCATTGGATGACCAAAGTTAATCTTTAATTTAGAAACAAACAGAAAGTAAAAAAGATAACTGAAATACTTAAGAAGAAAATTACAATTTAGAGCTTCTATGAGGTAGGAGATTGGTAAGTTCTTTCAGGGTCAGTAGAGAAAAAAACCTGTCATTTGACTGACCTTTGGAAGAGACAATTATCTTGTTTATTTTGTGTTAATTTATATAAGAACTATATTCTTTATATATTTAAGAAGTTGTCAAGATGGTGGCACACTGGTTTATTTCTTCACTGGAAGAAGATGCCAAGTATAAAAACCTCTCATCTTGATACAAGGTTCTTCAAATTTCTACTTGATTGACTTGGTACAACCTGAAGCAGGTTTTCCCCCATACTTAATCCAGGATTGTTTACTATCCATTCCTTGAGTGTAACGACATATATAATGCTTGGGATATAATAGCCACTTAATGTTCAATGACTGTCCTAATTGCTCAATGTAATTTCATACTGTTCTATAAAATGATGATGTTCCATTTAAAATTACTATTTAGTAAAAATTTGGACAGAAAATGATAACTGTATCTTTTGCTCAGAAACCTTAGCTATAAAATTATTGGACCATATCAGGATTCTTTTCAAGGTGTTTGTATGCTGAAAATTTTTCTGTTTAAAAACGTGAAATAATGTGAATTATGTTGCATACTGAGATGTAAATTATGGGCTTGTAATGATTTTTAAAAAGAACTATAATCCTTAGGGATTACCAAAATATAGTGTGCCTTGAAATAAGTTTTCAAGATTAAAAAACACACTATCTAGAGTCTTCCTTAAGGATAAAAATCTGTGTGACTCAGATGCACTGAATGCTGAGGTCGAGAAATCAAAAACCCACAGTATCAACATACCATTTTTCCTGATGTCTTACTTTGGATGGTGTTATGGATTGAATTGTGTTCCCCCAAAACTCATATGTTCATATGTTGAAGTCTTAACCTCTAGTACCTCAGAATGTAGCTTGATTTGGAAATAAGGCTGTAGGAGATGTAATTAGTTAAGATGAGTCAGACAAGGTGGGCCCCTAATCAGTGGGACTGGTGTCCCTATCAAAAGAGGAATCTGGACACAGAGACCGAGGCACGTACTGAGAGACAAGCACCCAGTGAGAATGTCCTGTGGCAACAGAGTTATGCTGCCACAAGCCGAGAAACTACCAGAAACCAGGGGAGAGGCCTGGAACAGATCCTTCCCAACCGCCTTCAGATGGAGCAAGGTCCTACTGACACCTTGATTTTGGACTTCTAGCTTCTAGAATTGTGAGACATCAATCTCTATTGTTTAGTGCACTCAGTGTGTGGGATTTTGTCATGGTGGCCCTAGGAAACTAACACAGGAGACAATACTGTAGGCAGTGTGATCACAAGAAATTACACATTCTTTTGATTTTTCCCCCTCCAATATTTCACAGGCCTCTCCTTCATATGTTAGAAAAATCAAGGTGAAGAGCAGCTTTTGAGTCGGATATTGTGTTGCTCTCTCTGGTGGGCCCTTCCTATGTGACTCAGATTTAGCAGCAGAGGACGCTGGAATCCAGATCTGAGAATTAGGCTTGGCAGCTTTTTCCTAGAATAGTGGGAAGTTCTCAGTGTGTCCCATGCTCATGGATTTTCCGGCAATTAGAGACACAGGGCTCCTCTGTATTTTTCTGGGGGGAGCTCAGTTTTGGAGGGGTGGTCTCCAGTTTCATAAAGAAGAAGGATGAATCTGACCTGATAGTATCTGAACTTGTTTAATGTCCTGCCTAAAATGTACCAAGTACATTTTTATTGGCTTGATTACTCAAAGTGATAACTGAATTTGGAAAATGATTACTTTGGTGTGTTAGAAAGAAAGTTAATGCGTTTGGAAAGGGAAGTGTTGGGTGTACAGTTTTCACCCGATATCTCACAGTAATGGTAACGTCTGTTAGAGCTTACATGGGCTTAAGCGCTTACATAAATTGCTTCATTTAATCTTCCCAAGTAACCTACGAGATATAGATCTTACTGTTATTAGACAGATGAGGAAATAGACTTAGTTAAGAAACTTGCCCAAGGACACAGAGCTGCTAAGTGGCAGAGCTGGGGTTAGAAATCACAAATTTGACTCGAGACTGTAGACTACACTCCTGCATAAAGTGCCTCTATCTTGTATTACTCTTATTGTTGTAATTTTTAGCATTTCTTAAAAACCACAGTTTCCTTCACTTGTGATTTTCTTCGCTTCCTTAAAAGTACAATAAAACCACGCCAGGAAACAGCAAGCTGAGGACATGAAATCAATTTAACAAGACAGTAGGTAATTATCCTCTCCTTTCCCCATTAAATTCTCTCCTGCAGTCCAGCATGACTAGTGTTCTTTGATTCTGGACATTATTTTTTCACTCCTATTTGAACAACATGCCTTTGAATGTGAGTGTTGACTGAACGAGATCAATGCAGAAAGGCTGCCACTGACCCAGAAGGTGAAAAGTAGCTTTCGAGTCAAATCTTCTGTTGCAGCCTCAGGCTGGCCCTACCTAAGTGACTTAGTTTTCGCATCAGTGAGAATTGGAAAGTGCAGAGGATGGTGGAGAAGGCGTGCTTGATACCAGTGACATCCTGCATTCACTCATGGGATGACTGCTCATTAGTGCCTATACAGATCATTTACTGTTTGAATGTCTTTAATCTCAGAAGATTGTTCAAGTAAATTGTTGTAAGAGGGAGCAAGTAACTTATTTACATGTCAAAAAAATGTAATTGGCTGGATAATCTCCCAACTCTCTAGGACATTTTAATTGTCATTTTAATCCACCAGAAGGGGCTGCCTATATTTTAATTTTACTGGACTTTTGTCATACAAAATATTTCCAGCCAGAACTTGACAATCCTTACTTTGAAATAGATGCTTTTATTTGAAAGATTTCCTAATGTGATGTGACTTGAGATGCGAAGATGTAAATCAGAAAATAGGCATTGAAAGCAGATTCATTGCTAACTGTGGTACTCTAGTGTTCAGCAAAAGTGGTTGCTTTAACATCCACTGAAGTTTCTTATATAATGAAAAATGATTTATCGGTTTATGTTGAACTGTGTATGTTCCAAAGTTTCATTTGGTTGCAAACATTATTCTCCACTTAAAACATACTGTGGAAAGAAAATGTCCATTTTTCTACAGTGAAAAGTAAGTCTCCTTGAGGATCAGTTAAAAGTGAAAGAATTACCGGCTGTGTTGGACGTTACTGGCCTTGCTATTGCCTCCGACTTGGTTTCACAGAGAAAGTCATCGATGGAGGGACTCAGGAGGGGTCTGCTTTCTTGCTGTTCATTCACCAGCTGAGAACAAATGAACACAGGTGTCAAAGGGCACTGCTGAACAGCAAAATCAGATGAATTAAAATGCAGCCTTGCAACAAAATGAGAATAGCAAGCCTACCAAAAAGATAAATAAATCAATAAATAGTGGGGCAGGGGCGAGAAAGGAAAAAGGGGTGGGGTGAGGCTTTCAGCATTGTCAACATGTTTGTGATGCAGCCAACTTTAATTTTTAAAGCTCAAGCTTTTTTCCTCCTCCTAGAACAGTTTGAGGATTATTCTATAATTTCAATATGCAGAAACTGACATTTAGTGAATCACAGTACCTAAGGGCCAGTCCCACTTTTACTTGGATGACAAACTCCTACTGAGTCTGGAAACAGTGACTTCAGATCTTGAGGTGACACATTCTGGCTAGGGCTGGTCACTCAGTGCTATGTGCTAAGAGCACACACAGATCCGTGTGTGTGGATACATGCTCTTTTTCTCCCGCTCTCAAAAAGCTCAAGTCACCTGAAGGCATACACCCTTCCTGACATATCCTTGGAATGCTTTCAATAGTGTATAAGCAATATAATTTTGAAAGAGTAGAAAATGTTATATTAACTGTACAAGTAGCCAGTAGATATGTTTGTGAAAATCTGTATGTAGAATAGATTTCTGTAAATTCAATTATATCTCCCCATTGGTTTGTTCTCTAATTTCAGAAATCTTTCAGTTTGATTTTTATTAGGCCTCATTATCAGTGGCAGCCAACTATTTACTTGCAGTTACTCTGCACCTCTTTGAATCCAAACATCCTTAAGTTCTGTTTCTATGGCTAAGAGAAAAAATACACAAGATACACAAGTGATTAGTTCCTAAACGAACTGTCTTAAGTTTTTTGGGAGTTTTTATATAGGCCTTTCTTAAAAGAGGCATAGCCACCTAGTTTTCTACTTGTTATAAAAAAAGATGTGTCAAAAAACCTCTAGGGTTTTAAATACTTATTTGCACGGCTGTATTTTAAGAGACATGCAAAATAACAAATGGTTTTGGAGTACTGCCAAATCAAAATATTTTATATGACTCAGTTTCACTTCATTATTTCTCTGGCACAGTGTTTTTATATTATAGTGGTATTATAGCTTAAAGCTTATGGAAGATGGCAAGAGACCTAAATAATGGTAAATATGGGAAGAAAAAAATGCAATTCTATTATTGCTGAAGGAGGAATATGGAAACCTTCAGTGATCCTTTGGGGACTGAAAACCAAGAGGCACATTTGGTACTTTTACATATTCACACTATTATCTTTAACATGGATAAATCTCAGCTCTTCGCTAGAGTCTAACATTTTCACATAGAATTGGCAATTTGATTTTCATACATATTAATTTGTGCACATTATCACGGGCTAAGTAATGAGAATGCTCATTTTCTTTTAGTGTTCAAATCACGGAGACAGAAATTTCTTCAAGTATTATAAGTTTTGGTGTTACTTGGTATAAAGACTCACAGATTTCTCTAGGAATCAAATTATCTGAGGTCTGGTTCTAGGTCTTCCTGGCCTAGGCTCAAGTGTATATGGAGCAAAGACTCAATACAACCAACAAAACTGCGACTTTAAAATACGCATAAGTATGCATGTGTGATGTCATAACTATCTCTTTGTTAGCCTTTATTTCTCTGAAGAAGAAATCTGATTTTATTCATAGATAACTAAAAAAATTTAGTTATTCTCTTAGCCATAGTATGGAGAAATATCAACTATTATGTAAAGATAAATATTATTTATATTCCACAAAAAGCCCCTTATGCTTTTCCTTTACTTTGGATACAATTAAATTCCTTTGTAAAAAAAGGACTAACAGTTTTTTTCCAAATCATAGCTCTGTGAGTAGATGTGTGGAATAGACCCAAATTCCCTATAGTTTTAGAAGACTGGGATATTAGATTTCTATAGGCACTTCCAGTTGTAAACACTGAAAAATGGTAGTCTAAATTTGATAAAAGAATTCTAGAAAGAAAAACCTTTGTCCACATAAACACCTAAATGGAAAAACAAAGGAAAAGGCACAATTAATGGAAAGGCCTATCCTTTTAGTCAGGTCTGCTTTACCAAAGGTAATAGAATTTTTTTTCTTACTTTGGGGAGTCTCTCTTTTCATTCAGACTTTAGCCTTATTATCTGGAGAAAGCATCTCTGGCATTCTCATATGTTGTCAGCATGGACAGAAAAGAACACCAAAGAGGAGGTTTGTTCAGAGATCCTAGGGAATCCAGGACTAAGGCATGGCTTCTCCAGTCTTTTCCTAAGCATTTGCCTCCTAAGGCCTGTGTCTGTTCCACACCTCCTGTCTTATTTGTGATCACACGTCACACCTGGGCTGATGGAGCTGTTATGCTGCCCAGTTCCCATAACTGAACTGTTCCTCTGGCTTTCTTCCACAGACACAAGTCAAAGAGGAAACAACGCATTACTTTGTGAGTCCGTGTTTTTCAAGCTGAAGCACAGTTTAGCTGTTGGGAAATGCCAAGATTGGAGTAAGGGACAGCGGCAGGGTTTGGGGTAAGAAGATGAAGGGTTGGATTTCAAATCGCATGGAGAGGTAATTTGGGAACTGATGGTTTTTCAGTTTTGATGGCGATATGGAAGACGAAAGAGGAGATACCACGAAAAAATCTTTTCTTATAAGCTCTGAGGTCAGAGGCTATGTCTTACTTATATTTCTATCTTTCACAACTTGGAATCAAATGTCTTCATAGAAGAGGGGTTCAACAAAGGGCTACCAAGAGGGGCAGTGACTCTGCAGAAACTGAAGATACAAAACTATCCATCTTAAGCAGTCCAATTTTGAACTCTCTTCAGTCTGATGAATTTAGGAATCATTATTTTAGCCACACTAAGTCCTGTTTTATTTTATTTCTATAGCTAAGAATAGCTTTCCACATGTCCCCTTCTCATTTTCAAACAAATTTATGATTTCCCTACGGTGACTTGAGAATGAGTAAATCTTTTAGGTCATAAAGGAATATCGCAAACTGAACAGAATCCCCTACATAGCTTGCTTAAGTTTTACTTCCAAATTGTGTGCCTTTTATTCTCTCTCTATTTATGGGTAGGATACAGCTTATTGACTTTCTCTAAGAATTACTTCCTTCAGTTTGAAAATCTTTTGTGAACTTACCTCATTTCATCCTTTTGGTACAGAGTACACTGATGTTATAACAATAATAGAAGGTGAGTGAAATGGTTCCCATGTTTTCTTGAATAACTATGTTGGAATGGCTGCAATTTTGGTCCATTCGGATTACCATAAATGAATTAAAATGACCCACTTCATTAGGTGCTAAGGCCTTTGTCTCACTTTGTTTACATTTAAAATGTTCCTTTATTCTCCTTCTTTGTCCTCTTCTCAATATTTAGATTAGTTCAAAGGCCTTTCTAATGGCAACAGATTCTCATTTCTCTTTCAAGACCCTGTTCTACTGGCACACTGTCTGGAAACCTACTTTGGCACTAGGCAGTGAGGGGGACCTCCATGTTCCCATGTGTTATTTGGTTTTCTAACCTTATGTTTATCTGCTTTTCTCCCACTAGACTATGACTTCTTTGAGGGCAGAGACTTTATCCAATTACTCTTTTGTATCTCATTAGTAGCAGATTAATAAATGCTGACTGATTTTATACAGTCTAACTGAAAGGTGATTTGTACAAAAGGATGATTGCATGGGTGTCCTCAGTTTCATGCTGGGTTTGATCAACTCACAGAGAGGCCAGTGCTCCTCAGAAATGTTTGTCAATTTCCTGGCAGGTTTTAAACCACAAATCTAAGACCATTTTCCTCCACTGTCACATCATTTAAATGCTTGGAAAACTAGAGCTACCTAAAGGAACATTTCCAAATGCAAGGCTTCTATTGAGAAGTCAAGAATGCAAAGAATGAATGTCTAATGAGACAAACAGAAATAAAGGCATGGGCCTGCCTTACTCCATCCTTGGAAGAAGGATAAGGATCAGTGCAAATGAGAGGCCAGTGGCACTTCAAGACATAACACTATCATCACACTTGGGGATTTTAAGTCAGAGATTCAAATTTGGAGATTTTGAGTGAAAACCCTTACATGGTCAATGAACATGGAAACAAAAGGAAACAGAAGTAAGAAGACAGGTGAGAACTTGCATGTAGGGACTTCTTGTTGCTGAGAGTTCAAAAAACTATTGAAACTTTACAACTTCCTTGTAATCATAGGTTGTAAATGAAATATTCAGTCAAACCCCTTCAATTTGCTTATGACTTGGTCATTTGATGTGGCGAATGGTAGCCACCACAGGACCAAATTGATTCTTTCCAAAGGTAGAGCCCAATTCTCCCCTTGAATATGAGTTGGAGTTAGTGACTAAATTTTTTAAAAAAGAATTATTTATTTTTATTTTATTTAAATTCTGTTGGTGGGGGGAGTTCATTAGGTTTATCTATTTTATTTTTTAGTGGATTGAACCCCAGACCTCGTGCCTGCTAGGCATGCACTCTTCCCACTGAGCTATACCCTCCCCCTCCTGGTTCTTATTTTATATCAATACTATGTTTAGTTTTGAACAAAATGCAGACTATATCGTCCAGCTTTAATGAATTACTGTCTGTTTTAGAACTTTGTCTAAAAATGCATTTGCCTTAGTTCAACTTGAATTTCCTTAATTTCAATGTTAAAAAATTAAATTATTATATGATACAGGGGAAACGTTTAACCAAGATGAAAGGAGAGTATTTTGTTTTTAAATACTACCTGCTACCTAAGCTCCAGTGCATGTTTATATAGCTTGTTTTATGACTTAACCCTAAGTTTATCTTTAAACAGTATATTGCTTAGGTGTTTTATTAAAAATATAGAGCTAAACTTTGTGATAACTTATATTACTCTGTATTAACTACAAAACAAAATGTGTTTTAGATGATAAAACAAGGTCTGTAAAGGATAATAATCCATTATTTCATAATTTTACACTTCAGATTGATGATCTCAAACTTATTTTATTTTAAAGTAAAATATTCTATTTTATTTTTAAATATTTTAGTATTTAAAGAATAAATTTAAAAGTTAAAACATTGAAGCTAATAAGTTAATAAACAGCTGACAAATGCCTCATATTGCAATCTTGGTTAGAAAAAAATTTGTAAAAATATACCAGTCTTTTTATGTCATCTAAGTAATAGGAAAAAATTTAAGATTTTGTTTTTATATAAATAAAAACACAAATGGGCTTTTAAAAGATGTATCTTTATGCATTTTAAACATTCCTTTATTATTTGTGACTGTTGATTCAAAGTATGTATCGCCTGTTAAGTAGGTTTTTGTTCATAATTCTGTAAACTATCTGTTTATTAGTCCTATTCAAGTTTAGAAATTTGATGGGCCAAGTGCATCAAAATAGTGATCATATTAAAACTAAGTTGACTGATTCAATCCATTGAAAAAATGAGACAACTAAATCTTACTATGCACCACTTATGCATTCAGCCTTTGAGAGCTTTGTCATGGTAACTCTGACACCAACAGAATTAATTTCTCATGAGCTAATAGGACTCATGGTACTGCCTCATCCCCCAGTTCCTGGAAATTGTCCCAGTGGATCTTCCTGTAAAGGATTAACCATGTGATAATTTTCAACTCTTTGACTTGATCTAAATGTCAACCAAGCAACTACAAATACTTTCCTGACAGGATAGTTAGACTTTAAAATGTGAATCTGTTCATGGGAAAATAAATATTACTGTTCACACCTTGGCTAGTGCTAACATGAAGGCAAGCGGGAGAGTATAATTAAAGTAATTGTTTCAAGTTAGTAACAGAAACCCAAACAAGGCTATTTTTAGTAGCTTTGAGAATGTTTTTCCAATCAAGGACATTACTCTTTATCAGACACAAAGTCAAACCAATGCCTAGGTTTAAGAGGTGGGGACAGATAGAAAAACAAAGGCAGAGTTAAAAAAAATTCCCTTAACAAGAATGTCTGGAACACATAGTTTTAAGACCCTGTGCTTTACAACAAAGGAAAAAAATAAAAAAGGAAAGGGGGAGCTATATTTTGCTTAAAAAAAGGACCAGGGATGTGGTTAAAATGGAAATTTCTGAAGGTTCTTTATGAGAGAAAAATATTCGCTAAAGTCATTTCATTCTCATAAAGAAGAATACAATTTTTCCTACGATATACTCAATCTTCTGGCACATAGTTTTCCTTTCTACCCTCAAACTGGATTTATTTATACTATTACAGTCTAGAGCAGTGCTGTTCAATAGAAATATAATGAGAGCCTGGTAATTTTAAATTTTCAAGTAGCTACTTTAAAAACTGTGAAAAGAGACAGGTGAAAATAATTTTAATAACACATTTTATTTAGCTCAATATCTCCAAAATATTATCACTTAAACTTGTAATCAATATAAAAATTATTAATGTGATAGTTTACATTATTTTTCTTTGGACTAAATCTTCCAAATTTGATATGTATTTTATATTTATAGCATTTATCAATTGGGGGTTCCCACAAAACTCTCAATAGCCATGTGTGGCTAGTGGCTACTGTACTGAACAGCACAGGTCTAGAGAAACTTAACTTCTTCCAAGAATTGATGGCTCAGATATTCTTTTTCCCTTTCAAACCTATCATCAATGCACATTTGTTTCCATACTGTTTGACTTAAACAGTGTTAGTCTAGGACAGCATGAACTTAAGCTTCTATGGAAAGCTTGATATACTGTTTAACACAGAAGTAATAACTAAATGAAACAAAAAGAGCAATTCTCGGGGTGGGGGGTTCAAGAGTTCAAGTCACCTGGCCAACTCTTCTGTTTTGTTCAATTTGTTCAATGTACTACAAATGAATTGACTGGCCTATGCTTGGCTAAATCCCTCTATAAGCAATCCTAATAATCACATAATACAAAAATGTTTCCATATAAACTATTCTACACTTCACAGTCTGTAGAATGAAGTTACTAAACAAGTCAGGGACTCAGTGTTTCAAGGTCTTATCTGTATTTTATTGATTGTGATGGTCCTGAAGACAGCAATTAGCTCTGGATATTTCTGGAATCTATGAATGAGCAGCTGGCATCGACACACTGGTGATGAAGATGAGTCAATCTACTCGGCAGTATGTAGCACTATGTCGTAGGGGCTTTGCAGGAGACACCAGGACAGACATGTTTCCAGACACTAATACATTCACAAAGGGGAACGAGTAAGAATGTGGTATGGTACACAGATTGGATGCTGTGGTTGCTATGAGAAGTACTCACTTTTTCAGATCATTCTGCTGCTTTTTGGCTTGTGCACGACACTGGTGCATGGCAGGGAAGAAGCCACTTGTGTATAGTGGAAAAAGTATATCAACTAATAAAACTGCATTCGACTGAGAAATAATTGTATCACAGCTGTCACTGGATTAATTCCATAAAATTATCAACACAATAGGTGCATTGCATTTTATGAATCAGAACTCCCTGTGTGCTGATTCATAAACTAGCCAGTATGCGACAAGAATATGATGCATCAAAGGAAGCGTTTATATCATCTTCATGCAGTATAATCGTAGCTAGTACCTCAAAACACTTAATGCAACATTAGACAGGGATTAAAGAAGGAACTTGGTACATACAAGTGTTCTGAGTATGAGAAAGTGGTAATCATCACAGTTTCTTTTCTAAATTAAAAATCAAAAATATTATTTTGCACTATATTTAAATTCAAGTTTAGGTTACAAAGATAATTTCGGACAACTGAAAAGGATTACTGGAAAGCACATAGCAATGCATGGTTTTGAAGAAAAAGAATTTTGGGCACTAGAGCCTGTCCAAAATTGTGTTGTCCTGATGTGATATGTTATAGCATAAATACGCCAATTGCGAATTTGGATAGGTTTTACCTAATGATGTACATGGCTCTGCTATTCGCCGAGAACTCCAAGTAGTTCTCACCTTCCATAGCCTTCACGTGAAGAACTGTGGGCTGACTATTTCAGAAATGGATTCTACAAAGGGCAGGAGATCAGTGTAAAATTGTATGTTTCACTATGTAAACTAAGTAAATAGTGGAGGCTTTGGTAAATATCAAGCAAATTTCTTTCCAACTATTACTATGTGTCATTGGGAAGAAGTCATCTTTTCTTTTGGATAAAAAACTCCCAACATAAGATTTATCCCCAAATCCTGGGAATTTTAATAACTTTTTTTATTATTCAATTTTGATGTTATATGTTGCTATAATTTTCATTACTTACAACATAGTGTTTAGGAATGAAATAAAACCACACATGTTGGCAGCAGCTGGGGCTGTGATCTGATGATATTCTAAAAATAAGTTACCATAATTTAGCTTTGGATATAAATGCCTTTCATGAGTTTAAACGGACATTTTCTAATTCTAGACATGTTCATATAAATTGGAAGTGAATCACTGCATTTACTATTGCATTATGGAAAAAAAAAACAAATGTTTAAGATAACAATCTAATCTAAATTATAAGATAAATGCAAGTAAAAATATTTTGCATTTAAGAATTTAAAACTGATAGTTCCACAGAGTGGTGATGAATATATTATACATATGTATGTGGATTTTACAGGGTGTTTCAAAAGTCCCTGAGGACATACAGGATTCAGTCTCAGCGTGTCTTTGCATACAAATGCAAACCTTTTTCTATACTTGTTATAATAAATGCTGAAAATGGCCCTCATGTGCTTTTAATAGAGATGATATTTTTGTTGTCAAGGTCACTAAGTAGAAGAGGGGTCACAAATGCCATTTTCTGCATGGGGACTCAGGGACTTCTGGCTCATTCCTGTAAGTTAGTTATCCACATAAATATGTATAGACATATATGTAGTATGCATAGTCACAACAGAAATATATTTAACATTTAAGAAAATTTAGATATTCTACTGGTAAACTGACATATGTATATAATATAAGTTGTATTTATTCACAGGAAATTTTTTTTGGTTGCTGTGGTTCAAATGTACCATTAGCTTAATTATTATTTCTTTCCCAAAGTCATTAACAAGACTCCTTTATAAAGAAGTAACATGTTTTACTTGCATGTACATTTTCTTTTTCTTTTTTTAACTAAAGTTGAGTAATGAAAATTAATATCCACAAATAATTAACTAAATGATGGAATTTTCCTTTTTTTAAAAAGAATTTTGGTTTTCATTTTATATTGTATAATTGTTTCATTGAAACTGTTTTTTTAAAAATTGGATCAAGTTAATGGTTTTTTTTTTTGCTACTTAAAAATCACAATGTCTGATATATTAACATATGTCAGCTTCCTACAGGAACCCTAAGGGTCTGCCCACCTGTGATGTCATAGTAAGGAGGGGCTTTTCTTCAGCAGACTCCTCCCTCGGTATCTCCTTCATCACCATGGCAACAGCCTTATCTGCCGCCCTAGAGCCTTTTCCCTATAACAGTGAAATCAACAATGACTTGTATCAGGAGAAATCTTTAACTTATTATTTATCACAAGATACTCTAATGTTTAAAGAGCAATCCAACATAAATGAAGAGGTAGGCTGCTGCAAGTGAATCTTGAGGCTTTTGGCTGAGGAGAAAACACACAAAATCTGAAAAAAGATTATTTGTGAACTTTTTAGTTAGCTACTTTCTCACCTTTACAGCTGACATATTATATTTAATTTTAACATAGTATTTTATATGTATAATATATTTTAAGGCATTTTACATGACATGACATAATTTTTATAGTATTGATTTAAAAGCACTATGGCTTGCCTGCTATGTTCATTTATAAATTATTCTTATATAATCCCTAAATCTTTTGAATGATAGTGAAGAGCCTGGGGTAGGGATTAGCATTGGGGTCTCAACCCCAAAGAGGACTTTTGCTGGGTGATCTCTGGAGTCTGTCATTTTTGAGTGGGATTGGGCATAAAAAGAGTAAATTTGTCATAAAACCTCTAAAAATTCTTCAGTGGCCTAAAATCACAGGAATTCGCCCAGCTTGTTTATTTTGTGGAGGTAGTTATGAAAAAAGTTTGCAACTCTCAACATTCTTGAGACCAAAGAATTTAACAGGATTTTAGAAATGTCTTTTAATTGGAGAATTCCAGAAATCCAGATGTAAATAAAGGATGGTTAATAATTGAGGTACTGATATATAGATATCTACATTTTTTTTTTGTCTTATATAAGCAGCATTCTGGACTGTGAAGGGGTGTGCTGGCTTTCTGTGGTTTTAGTTTACCAGATTATTAAGTTTTTGAGAGCAGATATGGCACAATGGAAAAAACAAAAACCAAAATATCACCTTCCCAACCCAATTAGCAACATGTCATACTATGTAAAAATTAAATAATCCTAAACACCTTAAAAGCAAAAACTTCCATTTTCTTTGGTCTCTGGGTAGAGCCTCCCTAGAGAAAACCATTTTCTACTAAGTGCACACCTGAATATCTGTGTTGTAAATCTACTTAAAATACTGATGTAGCATACAGAGATATCACAGGCAAAGGAACAAAAATGGACAGGGGGTCCGTTGTCTGAAAGGGAATTAAGAGCTAGGGTCAATATTAACTCTTGAGGTTAATAAATCTTGATAGTTTCTATACAAAAAAAAAAATGATAGAATTACATTATCATCTTTGGTTTCCGCAGGGCTTTAAGTATTTAGAAGGTAGGTTTACTCTTGAAAGCAAAACAATGTTCATTTTCTCAGGCATTGCCTTTGCAAAATGTAACAAGTGGCTGCTTTTATTTTGAGAACAAAGAAAAACTTTCTGTATAGTTAACTATATTTAAAAATGTGTGAATCTACGTTGCTGAAAGTTTGTGTCTTTGGTTTGTTTTGACTTAAGAACTAGCATTATTGAATGATATTGAAAATAGTTTGTTTTGACTTAAGAACTAGCATTATTGAAGGAATGTTAACTATTCGAGATTTTATTCATCAGATATAACACTAGTAATTTTCATATGTGTTCTGAAAAGTTTAAATGGGCACAATCCTTAGATTAACTGACTTCAGGAAGAATAAAGGGAAACAGTGATTCATTCATTGCCTAATTGGGATGCATAATGATCCCGGGTTTTTCCTTTAATGAATCAATGTCAACTTCCTAAAATGGAGATACATATAACTCTGAATTCTGGGAAAAGACTTACTATGACACTATTAAACTATCTGACATATTTTCAAACTATAAAAATTATTTGGATGAAACATTATATACTATCAGCTTAGTATACCTTTATAAGCTATACTCATTTACAGGATAAATATAGTTTAACAAATATTTTTGCAGTTTGTTTTTTTCCAAAAGAGCAAAATCATTTGTGAAGAATTCTTTCCATGCTCCAAGAAGTTTAATAATATAGCAATAAACAAAGTGGCATGCTTATATTTAAATTCCTAATATATTTTTAAAAACGTATCTAATGTTACAAGGTATAATTAAAGAATTATAATTCAGACTCTTTTCTCGGGCTAAGGAAAAAATGTCAATTGATAAGCATCTCAAAAAATTTCTGGTGAATATTTTGATATACGATTTATTTGAAATGCTACCAATCCATAAACTACATACAGGTATTTTTCATATGTGCAACTATATAATAGCTAGAATTAGCAACGGACATGCCATTTCACTAAAACAAAACCAAAACAAAACAAAAATTAGTCCTTTCATGCTGAACTCTAGAACAAAGCAGTGGTCAGCTAGAAAGGATGTATAATAATCACATGCGGTGCTTTTTATTTCTTGCAGAAAAACCCACCAAAGCCAGGGTCAGGTCACTTTTTTGAAGACAGTGCCACTTTTTCTTCAAGGTTACACCTACTACCTGAAAGAGTCATGACACCCAGGTTAGTGCCTGCTAGCAACTTTTTTTCTTTACAGCCTTTTTGGCTTTTGAATTATTACCCAACGAGCCTCACTGCTTTACAAGTGTGGTACAGTCTGAGAAGAGAGCAGGAAGGTCGGTCACGTGACATCTCCACGACTCCAGACAGTGTCTAAAACCACTGCCAAATCACGTGAATGAACTCATTTATCACAGCAAGATTCCCCCCAGGTTGTATTGCCACCTCCACCTGGTTTCTTAAAATCAAGCTGTGTTACTTCTGACTTGTCCATTTATCTTGTGGGATAATGCTGCTAGAATTCAGATCCTGGCTGCTAACTGACTTGGCAATTCATGAAGCTATACAACTTTGCTTATCAGCAGCTCTGCAGGGCTGACAGTAATACAACTGTGCAGTTTTTTTTTTTAAGTTCAGTGGCTTAAAACATTGTAAGAAATATATATGCATAATTATCCATACTTCAAGCTCAGTTTTCTTAATATAACTTAATATACCAAAGGGTCAATATTAACCTATTATTTGAAACAACATGAAGACAGCAAAAAAGGAAATAAACACTGACTATACACTCAAGCATATAAGTGGATTTAGAGTACATTAAGCTGGTATGCTTCTACATCATTCTAGCCACAACAAAAAACAGTGACATTTTACAAGTTGATTATCATATCATGACACCCTCTAGCAATTATTGCAGCCTATTTCTTTTCACATAATACTTCAAAATCACTTCCTCCCACTTCCTTTTGGAATCTCTTGAGATATTTTTGACTGGAAAACTATCAGCATAAGGGGAAACTTCTATCTTTTTTTGTGGTTTGTCATAGAAAATTCTGATTTTTTGAAAGTTTCTTTTATCATTTTGTTTCTTCACAAATGAAATGTATAGAATAACAGCTTTTCTAACAAACAATAATTTTTGAGAACAGTCTTTAAAATTAACTTCTGCTATAAGACCAGGCTTAAATGAATGAAACACAGGGAGTATAGCAAGGTGACAATAACATTCATTAAGAAAACTCAATATTGGCCCACTTCTTCTCCCTTTTTATTTTTTTCCAATATAGAATATAAGAAACAGAGTAGAAGTATTGGAAGTCACAGATCTTCACAGGCTGGATACCAGCTATCTCCAGATGAGGAGGTGTTGGCTCCAAGCGTGTCTTGCAGGGAAGGGACCTAACCTATTCGGAGCAGCTACTGTGTGCTGAGCACTCTACCAGATCTGCTCCATAGCTGTACTTACTGGATCTCATGAGAGCTCTGTGGGGCAGATATTATTGTCTTTGCTAGACATTTCTGGGCTTTGTGACTCAGAGATGGCATGATTTGGCCCAGGCCTCAAAGCTGGTATGTGGCTAAGCCAGGACAGGAACCCAGACCCACCTGCCAGCCTCTGTGCTTCCTTCTCTACCACACTGTTATCTCTCCTTCCGCTTCATGAGCCTGGAGGGCTCTCCCACGCCGCCCTCACTGATGGCCAGAAACACAGCTTGGTTATGGTATCACTCAACTTTGGGGCAGCAACCACTTCTCAATATAATTTCGCAGTCTAGATCTAAGCAGACATTTTAGAGAAATATTTTCTTCAGTCTGCAATGGTCAATAAGATTCAGCCACCCATAACTTCAGCTGTAAGCAGATTTCTAACAAAATGTTTTTTTCTTCTGTCTTCATGGAAAATGGACCTCAGCATTTCATGTACACAAACTTCTCTTATTCTGTAGATCATATTAGGTTTATGAACTTTAGCATCTCTCTAATTCTTATTAAATGCTAACTCAGTGCCATTAAATGCCATATTTACTAGGATTTTCCTGAGATCTATTTTGGATGCACGAAATAAAGTAATTCCACAGTGACATGGTCCATTCATAAACAATTTTCTAGTTGTTTTATTCTATTACTGCTACTATGGAGTTTGTAACTTAAAAATTATTTTTATTATCCTTAATCTATCAACAGTAATACAGAGTCTCTTTATCAGGGATATTAAACAGAAGAAATGGAGATATTAAATTAGGGGAAAATTAAAAGATTATAATACTAGACATCTCTGCTAACCCTAAATAATCTATGAATTTAAAAAGTACTCTTCCTTTTATTCTGATTATAAAATTAATATATGTTATTGCCAAAAAATTAAGATAAAACAGAAACAAGAAAATAAAAACAGCAACCTTAACATTTTTATGCATTTCCCCCCCAATTTTATCTTTACAATATTGAAAATTAAACAGTTTTTTAGGATGAATGTTTTAAGGATAGACAAACTATAATCAAGTTTGCAAGTGTGAATGTATTTCTTCATATATACATATATGTAAGCAAAAACCTGCCATTTAATTCATTTTAGCCATACTATCTCAAATGAAGTGCTATTCAGTATTGCATATGCTAAAAAATCATCTCTCTCATAAATTTGGGACCCTGGACCTACATGCACATGTGGTAAACTGGCCACAAAAAATGGCTAATTTCTGATGGCTGTGCTTGTTTCTCTTGTGCTGAGCCAGGACAATCTTCTTTTACTGGGAAGGTAAATGTCATGGGAAGTGTCATGCTCTCTTCAAAGTTCTCTTTCAATACAGAAAAATGTCAGAGCAATGTTCCCTGAACGCTGGCGATCTCTGCCTGCCATATTGTGTCCTTTCCCAGTTAAGTGTGTTCCTATAGATTTCTTCCAACACAGAGCGGAGTTCAGACCATGCTGCTTCTATGATAGTAACATTTAACTCACTCCACTACCACCCCGGTGTTTTGTAAATTTTAAAAGTGGAACAAATAGAACTAAATCTGGGCATACTGATCAATTCTTGTTTCTAAACATCCCAAAGGAAGCGCAGATCTAGATGGAAACAATTGGGAAACAAACAGAATTCTCTCTTTTCTTAACTAGAGATACATATGTGGAATTCACAAATCATAATGCATTCACCATTGGTTCAGTGATCTGTTTATAGCTGGAAATAATGTGGTTTCTGATTCCTTAATAAGGGTAGTCAAGTTGTAGTAAAGAAATTGATACCTCTCTATTTAAAATAATGACACAGGGCATTTAACAGGAGGACATCTACTTGATTCTCCATATCTTTCTCTCTTACTAGTTTTTTCCCTCCAGTGTTGTTGTCTTCTGGATGACAGGTACACTCTTCTCCAAATCATCACTTTTTCTATCAAGTCTTCTGAGATAAATGAGGGGTGCTTCTAATTACAATCTACAATATAATGCCTATGTCCTCAGTTTGTGTTACGTACTATTTGGCATTTTTTGTTGTATGTGGTGACGGGAGAGTCATGGATAATAAGCTCTTTAACTTTAAATCTCCATCCACCAAAGTTGCTGGGATTCTAAGCCCCGCACATGCACATTCACTTTCCTTGGCCTGAATAATTGGTGTAGGGGTCCTTATGACTTTTATAGGCCCTCGAACTTTTGCCTTCCTGGGCCCCTTCCTCCATAAAAAAAAAAAAAGTTAAAAATTGTATTTTAGGACTGTATTGTTATGAAGACAGATATAATCCAGACTGGATTTATTATTATATATTCATTATCATAATAGTCATTTTGGGGGTTCTGACTTTAAAGGACATAAAACATTTTTAGGGGCTCTTAAACGCATCTATGCTACTATACCCTATGGACTGTGTCCACTGTGCATGGTGCAGAAGTTGACCCAGGTTGGTGTCTTTTCAACACTCAGTGTGGTGTCCCTGGGGCTGCTGTGCTGTCCCCGGAGCTGCTCTGTCACCTCTGGGTGGTCCATTTTGGCAGCAGCGGCTTCAGCCACCCGCTCAGCACGTCCCAGCGTGGGTGTTCCAGCCCTAACAGGCCCCCTTGCCACTGCCGCTCTCACGACTTCTGTGAGCATTCAGGGAGCCTCTCTTAACAGTATTCACACACCCTGGTGGGGGCCCAATCAGCAGCATTCATCTCGCAGTTCTTAAAACACACTCAGGACACCTGGAACATTTAGGCCTGGAGCAGAAAACACTGGCGTGTAAGATTGATGTGACTCTCTTAAAATGTAATCTCTTCACCAGACAATAGGCCTAAGCACTTTATTCTCTCTTGCCTCATGGGGTGTTCCTGACCATCCAGGAGCACTTCTGAGGAAGCTGAGTCAACCTCTCTCTCTCCCCCTTTATTAAAACAAAATCAGCCTTCAATGACCACAGTCACCAATCAGTTCCAGTGCAGTCCTCATTTTTTCCTATTTACACAGTGGGTTGCTAGAGGAAGAGAACTGCCTGGTACCCAAAATTCCTGAGTTGTACATGAAAATTAAGGTCCTCCCAGGGACCTCACTTTAGTCCTTTATTTTATAGAACTTGTGTAAGCAATGATCATGCTTGTTTTTTTGGAACCATTTTGCATTATTTGGTATAGTAATAGACACTCCAGTTTACTCAGTAAATACAAGGAACTATTAAACACCTTTTTCAGATTATTCAAGATGCTGAAATCACATAATATGGCCAACTTTGACAGAAAGTGATTTTGAATTAGATAAAAAGTCTTAATTAGACATTTAAAGAAATGAACTAGTTGCAAGAACCTAAATAAAAATTCATTAAAATTGAAAAGTGTTGCCAAGTAAAAGATGATGAAAATTGGCTCTGAAGGGCAGATAAGACTTCTTTTTTAACAACTAAGATCCATTGGTCCACAATTTACCATTTGTTTGTTCTTTGGAGAAGGTTAAACATTCCCCATCTCACTCCCACCTTGTCCTCAAGTTTATTCACTCTGCTCAGCAAGCTTTCCTGACAAAGGGTCAAAGTCACAACACTCAGTTGTCATTCATCTATAACCAGTTCTGAATTAGGGAAGTTTTACTCCCAGGCTTTCTCTGATTAAGTGGCTCCAACTTACTTGGAGCCTATTTTACTGTAATGTTGAGTTTCTCTCAATATTTACTGTAATATTGAGTTTCTCAATATCAACATTTGCTACCTAGGCTGGTGTGGTTTAAAA